TCAGCTTCTTACAGGCTTTAATTTCAGTGACTCTGCAAGAGGGGTGAACGTGAAAAACATTTTTTTTTTTTTTGGTAAAAATATTGAGTGTTCTACGCAACTGGTGTTCTAAGGAACATGTTTGGGGAACAAAGTCTTGGGTTGAGTGAGGAGATGTTTAGTACTGGCCATGCACTTTACCAAAGATTCACAGTGACTGACAATACAGTCGGGTTGCCTGATGGCAGATGCTTCTTATGGCTGTTCCTCAAGAGATTATTGGCAGTTCCTGGGGCCTGTTTTTAGGAGTTCCCATACCTGGCTGGTGAGGCTGCAGTAGTGTGGTGGGGGTGACTGGCCAGCCAGGCTATCCTGTAGGACAGTGTGCTTGTGTTCTGATGTTTGTGGCTACAGTGCTCTGCTTTCAGCATCCTGGGACTTCCATGATGTTGCATTTTCTGAATTCTGAAAGGGGATATACCATCTGCATGTTCAAAGGTGAAACGGGGGATGGTTGGCAGGGCTGGAAGTTTTATCTGGATGAGTAGGTTGTATAATGCATGTCTCTAGGGGTGCGATTCACATAGCAGCCATGGTAGATCCAATTTTCTTGTAATAGAGTGTCCGGTTCCCAGAATATCAGTATTTTTTGACAATTTTCCAGCAGGTGGCATGAAGTGTCTTGAGGAAGGGACATCTTTTTCTAGGAAGGGGCACCTTTTTCTAGTTCTTACAAAGGTAACATATAGTATAGAGGTGGCCCTGAGTGGGAAGGAGAAGCCATCATCAACTCTTGGAATATGAGATCTGAAAGGGCTCTGAGAGAGCCAGGTCCTTCTCTGGAATTGTTAGGACTCTTGCTTACAAATAATAGAAACCCAATTCCAACTGGCTAACGCCAACAGGGGAACTAATAATCAGAATGCAAGAACAGGAATGCAGCTGGGACTCAGGAACATGCTGGATCCAGGTACTCTGACATGGTCAGGACCTATGCCTCTCTCTTTAACTGCTTTTTTCCCTTCTTAGTCCAAAACATGGTGGTAGACAACTCCTGGGTGTCACATTAGATGTTCAGTAGTCAGCGGAGACTGACCTCCTCTATGTTCCAGTGCTAAAATCTCTGTTCAGTTTTAATCATATCAAATAGCCAGTGGGGTGTGTGTGTGTGTGTGTGTCCGTGTCCATAAGCATGACAACTGAGTGGATGTTGGGAGTGGTGTGGGCAGTAGGTAATGGTCACATATCCTACAGAGGAACACTGTAAACAGAAGTCACAGAGAAAGAAAATGGCCTGTCACTAATCACATAGCCGGTTGACAGCAGAGATAGGAGAAAACCATGATCTTAGATGGTGACATCTGTGTGCTTTTCATAATCTTACACTGCCTCCCTCTCAACAGAAAGTAGTGATTTTGATACAATTTCCTAATTCAAGATAGCAACAACTACAACAACAATCAAATCAGGAAATTCTTTAGGAAGTCCTATCTAGAGCAACCAGACAAGAGAAAGAAACAAAGGGCATCCAGACTGGAAAGGAAGAGGTCAAATTATTCTTGTTTGCAAATGATATAATCTTATATTTGGAAAAACCTAAAGGTCCCACTAAAAAACTATTAGAACTGATAAACAAATTCAGTAAAATTGCAGGATATGAAACCAACACACAAAAATTAGTAGCATTTCTTTTTTTTTTTTTGAGGCAGAGTCTCACACTGTTACCTGGGCTTGAGTGCAATGGCGTGATCTCAGCTCACTGCAACCTCCACCTCCTGGATTTAAGCGATTCTTCTGCGTCAGCCTCCCGAGTAGCTGAGATTACAGGCATGCACCATCACACCCTGCTAATTTTTTGAATTTTTAGTAGAGATTGAGTTTCACTATGTTGGCCAGGCTGGCCTTGAACTCCTGACCTTGTGATCTGCCTGCCTTGGCCTCCCAAAGTGCTGGAATTACAAATGTGAGCCACTGTGCCTGGGCCAGTAACATTTCTATATGCCAACAGTGAACAATCTGAAAAAGAAATAAACAAGTAATACCACTTATAGTAGCCAAAAATAAAATTAAATACCTAGGAATGAACTTAGCCAAAGAAGTGAAAGACTTCTACAAAGAAAACTATAAAACACTGATGAAAGAAATTGAAGAAGATACAAAAAATGAAGAGGCATGCTATGTTCATAGATTGGAAGAGTAAATATTGTTAAAATGTCTATACTGCCTAACACAATCTACAGATTCAATGCAATCTCTATCAAAATATCAATGGCATTCCTCACAGAAATAGAAAAAAAAATCCTAAAATTTATATGGAACCACAAATGACCCAGAATAGCCAAAGCTATCCTGAGAAAAAAGAACAAAACTGGAGGCATCACATTACCTGACTTCAAATTATGCTACAGAGCTATAGTAACCAAAATTGCATGGTACTGGCATAAAAACAGACACATATACCAGAATAGAGAACCCAGAACAAATCCACACACCTACAGTAAACTTGTTTTTGACAAAGGTACCAAAAACATACCCTGGGGAAAAGACAGTCTTTTCAATAAGTGGTGCTGGGAAAACTGGATATCTATATGCAGAATAATGAAACTAGACCCCTATCTCTAACCATATACAAAAATAAAATAAAAATATATTAAAGACTTAAATCTAAGACCTCAAACTATGAAACGACTACAAGAAAACATCAGGGAAACTCTCCAGGACATTGGTCTGGACAAAAATTTCTTGAGGAATACCCTACAAGTACATGAAACTAAGGCAAAAATGGACAAATGGGATCACACAAAGTTAAAAAACTTTTGCACAGCAAAGGAAACAATCAACAAAGTGAAGAGACAATCCACAGAGTGGGAGAAAATATTTGCAAACTACCCAGGGATTAATAACCTGAATATATAAGAAGGTTTTCCAACTCTCTGAAAAAAATCTAATAATCCAATTGAAAAATGGGCAAAAGATTTGAATAGACATTTCTTAAGAGAAGACATACAGATGGCAAACAGGTATATGAAAAGGTGCTATGCATCATTGATCATCAGAGAAATGCAAATCAAAACTACAATGAGGTATCATCTCACCCCAGTTAAAATGGCTTTTATCCAGAAGACAGGCAATAATAAATGCTGAAGAGGATATGGAGAAAAGGGAACACTTGTACACTGTTGGTGGGAATGTAAATTAGTATAGCCACTATGGAGAACAGTTTGGATGTTCCTAAAAAAACTAGAGCTACCATATGACCCAGCAATCCCACTGCTGGGTATATACCCAAAAGAAAGGAAATCAGTATATTGAAAATGTATCTCCCCTCCCACGTTTGTTGCAACACTGTTCACAATAGCCACGATTTGGAAGCAACCTAAGTGTCCATCAACAGATGAAGGGACCAAAAAAAAATGTGGTACTTAAGACACAATGGCGTACCATTCAGTCATAAAAAAGAATGAGACCCTGTCATTTGCAACAGTGTGGATGGAACTGGAGGTCCTTATGTTGAGTTAAATAAGCCAGGCACAGAAAGACAAATATTGCATGTTCTCACTTATTTGTGGGATCTAAAAAATCAAAACAATTGAACTCACAGAGATAGAGAATAGAAGGATGCTTACTTGGAAGGGTAGTGGGTGAGGGGGAGGGACAATGCGGATAGTTAATGGGCACAAAAAATAGTAAGAATGAATAAGACCTAGTATTTGGTAGCACTATAGGGTGACTATAGTGAAAAATAATTTACTTGTACATTTAAATTAACTAAAAGAGTATAATTGGATTGTTTGTAACATAAAGGATAAATGCTTGAGGTGACAGATACACCATCTACCCTGATGTGATTATCATGTATTGTACGCCTGTATCAAAATATCTCATGTACCCCATAAATAAATACACCTACTATGTACCCACAAAAATTAAATATAAAAAATTTTTAAAATGCCCCATTACAGGAGAGGTCCAAATGAAAACATTTGTTTGAGTTTAACTGGCCACAGGTTCTATGGTTTCCTATCCACCGCAGAAATAAATAGCTCAAGGGTGGGCTGCCCGCCAGCGTAAACCTTTGAGAGGCAAATACTACCAGGGTGGCCAAGGAAAATGCCCTCTTGCTGGCCATAATTGTACATAATGTGTGTAAATAAAAGCTAAAAGGAAAAAGAAAGATAATTCTTTAGCTCTTCCAAAAGAGGCAAACGGAGAAATGAAAAATAAAGAGATAGGCACTATATAAATACTATCAATACGGCATTTCCCGACCCAGGAAATATTCTGATACTTTGCAGGGATGGAGCCAGAAATGTTCTGAAAGGAGATTGCATGCGTAATTGGGGTGGGGTAGCAGAGAGTTTGGCAGGCCCTACCTCACTTAGTTTTAGTTATGTTTCAGTTAATCTGCCTCCTCATTTATGAGGTAGGTATTGTTAGCTCCACTTTTCAGATGAGGATACTGAGATTCAGTAAGGTTATTAACCAAACTTACGAGAAAGCCAAGATTTCACAAGATTTCAACCCAACTCGAGTTTGTCTAATTCCAGTGCGTATCAATGGTATTATTAATCCAGACTGAGCGATGAATTAAAAACTCTGACGTGACGTTTCTACGGGTTTCTGGAACAAGCCTGGATCACCCGGGGATGGGGTGAAGTTGGCGTTGCCCTCCTTGCAATAATAGCTGCTATTGTTTTGGAGCAGTTATTATGGATCAGATACCGTGCTGGGTCTACTATCTCATTTAGTCCTTAGGACAATCCTGAGGTTGGCATTACTATGATCTTTATTTTCAGGTTAGGAAACTGAGCCTTAAATAAACGACTGGCTTTTCCTGTGAATAAATTCCTATTAGTGAAATACTTAAAAGAGCTAGATTAATAAATTAACAAAGCCTCCTTCTGAGCAACTGTGCTGAAATTCCATACGCGTGACGTTCCCACCCTCTGCCGCTCGGTGACGTCACGATAAATCCCACCACTGTGTCCCAGCCAAGCGTCACCGCCGTTATCTCGCGAGAGCCGTGGTTTCTTCCATTCTGTTTTGAACATGCGCGAGGCGTAAGGCGCTTTGGCCAAAGGGGTTTGATGGTTTTGTGTCAGTCTTCCTACCCGTGAGCTTCCACCAGGCACTTTTTCCCTTTCAGCCACCCCAGATCTCGCGAGACTTCTGCTGCCCCCTCCTACCTTGCGCCTGCGCAGCTCTTCAAAGCAGAAGGTCGCGCTGGGAGGAAGTGGCGGCTTTGAGTCCCGTGGCCCAAGCGCCGTTACTATTTCTCTTAAGCTCCTCTCGGCTGCTCGCCGAGACACCCTGCCGCCAAGATGCCTCGAATTATGATCAAGGGGGGCGTGTGGAGGAATACCGAGGTAAGTCTCTTTTTCCCGCCGTCCGCTGCCCTCCGCTCCCTTTGGCACCTTGTGCGCAGGCGCACGGGGGTCGGGGAGGCCAGGAGGAGACCCTGCTGGGTCTTCGTGGAGGGCAGCGCGGGGGCGGACCCTCGGGGCCTTTTCCGTGTGCCCGAACTCCTATTTTGCTAGCTCCAGTAGGACAGGGACCTTGATGTAACTACCTGACTACTCAGCTCCAAGCTTACTTGTTAGGCCCTTAGTGAACATTTGTTGACTTTAATACCCCCTTCCTACCCCCGCCCACCCCTGGAGGAACTAGGAGTGTGGCCAGGGAGGTAGGACAGCAGCGAGAGTTGGTCCCCTGGGGCACCATCCACTCTTAGTCCGGGCACCGTGACTCTCTGTGATACTCAGAAATAAAGACGTTGTCTTGGCCATAACTTTGTTTCTTCATTGATTGCATTGCAGAAGGGAAGCAGTTTTGAGTGCCAGGTTCAAAGAGCCTGTTTATGCCCCCATCTCTCTAGTTATCTGTTATCAAGGCATAACCTGTCTGCCATCTCGACAGATCCCAAGGTCTGTCTCTTATCTTTCTGTCACTACCTTTACCTGGATAGAAGCCAAAACTGCCAAGGATAGTCTCTGCTTCCAGAAATGTAGTGGATAGTGCCATTGGTGAGCCAAAGGGCAGTAGGGTGGGAATAAAATAGAGATTAGATTTTAGTTCATTTTGTGTTGAGTGTATTGAATTTATCAGTTTCTGGAGCACCTCATGTCTTTTCATGCTCCTTGTCTTTTTCGCGTTACATTTTGTGGCTTCTTTTACGTCTTGTGCCTTCTTAGTGCTTGACATCTTTCTGATTATCCTTTAAACCTAGTTCAGAAACACTTCTTGGAATCCCTGTAAGAATTAGTTGCACCTCTGGTATTCTCATGGTACCTTTTTCTTCCATCTGTTAAAGCTTGCTTTGTCTTTTTGTAAACATCATATCTGTGTGCTACTGAGTAAGTTTCTTAACTTCTGAAAGCTTAAGTTTTCTAATTTTTCTAAAGTGGCATAATACTTTTATCTCTTGAGGATTATACGAGTCAATACGTTTGGAACATTTAGAACAGAGTAGGGCACATAATAGCCTCTCAGTAAGTGCTAGTTGCTCTTTCACCTCACCAGAGAGCATTGCAAGAGGACTAGGTCTTGGTATCCCTAGAACCTAGAACAGTAACCAACAGGTTGCTTGACAGGTGTTCGCAGAATGAACCAGGTAGAGTAGGTATCTGCTGTATCTATTTAGTTGAAGTTGTGTTTAAGTGTAATAGTACTGCAGCAGAGTTACAGATAAAGACAGTGAAAACTGCTTCAGTTTGCACGGAGGGAAGCAGGCTGTTTAAAATGGAGAAGAGGTGACTTCTGAGGGAGAGACAGATATAAAATCAAGTAACAGCAGGATTCCTATGCAGTGGTCAAAGTTCTGCAGTCTTTTTAAAAAATATGTCTTCGATCGTGGGAGATGTAGGGAATGGAGTGGGGTATCTCAAGTAAGAGTCATGTACCTCAAATCCAATGTGGGGAGAAAAGCCTTAAAGTAAAATAGCCTGAGTGCATACATCTGTGGCTCCATTAACCTTGTCTGTGGCTTGGCTTGCCAGGCTGCCTTGAGATTGGCGCATTCCACGTTGTGATGGGTCCCCTGGTGAAATGGTATGGTGGGGGGGTGGGAGGGAATTGGAGGGAAAGCTGACTGGTCGGGTGGGGGCAGAAATATTTAATTCTTAGATTAAACCTGAGGTGTAGATTCTTGAGTCATAGTTGGGGTTAAAGGGCTGGAGGGGAAATGCCTTGTGTTAACTTGAGACAGGAGGCTTGGGTCGGAGAATATATTCACCAGAGTCCCGGCTGGCTTCTTGAGGCCTAGATATGTCCTGTTTGATTCCCTTTCCCCAAGACCTGGTTCAAGGTACATGTTCAGGAAGTGTTTTTGAGTGAGTGTATAAATAAATGAGTTATACCTTTTAGTTATCCTTTTTGAAGAGAAGGACAGCCGCATGTTGAAGAATACTTTTTCTTAATCTTTGTCATAAAGTATGGTTTCTCACATTGGGCTGTTCTCACTCCCAAATTATTGGAGATTGTGGTGTAGGGTGGGTAGATGCCTTTCTAAGGAATTTCTTCTTAATTTCAGTTCTTGCTTGCTGTTTATCATTGTAGTTAATGAGGTTTTCATCCTTAGTTTTTTAACCTAGGTGGTGTATATGGGCATGTTATGTATATGTCTCTCTTTCTCTAGCAGCCCTATCAGAGTTAATTTAAATTTTGTCTTTTCTCACTTGGAGTTTTGTGACTGAATGTACTCTGGCAATTTTTTTTTTAGGATGAAATTCTGAAAGCAGCAGTTATGAAATATGGGAAAAACCAGTGGTCTAGGATTGCTTCGTTGCTGCATAGAAAATCAGCAAAGCAGTGCAAAGCCAGATGGTATGTACCAGTTTAATAAGACGAAAACATAAAAGGAGCTTAATTATGATGAAGGAAAATGCCAGTTCTGTGAACCTTATCAAAGAAAGCAGACATCATGAGATAACAAGGCATGGAGTGGGAGATGGGAACTTGGATTTTTGACTTAGCTGTCACTTGCTTCCTTTGTGATCTTAGGTAAGCCATTTTTCTATCCCCTCTCCTCTGCCATTGTTTTCTCCCAATTAGGAGTAATAATACTTGGTCCCAACTGATAGAGATGAGTTACCATATAAATGGGTTAATGTATTTGAGAGTGCTTTGTGAAGCATACAAAGTCTACTTGTAGGGACAGGTGAGCCCCAGCTTGTAAATGAATTGTGTTCTAAAAGTGCATAAGTTAGTTGTTTTGGACCTTACTTTCTCAAATAAATAAAAAATACTGGTTAATTTTCTAAGTAAGCCTACAGTAGTTGAGTTTCAATAAAGTTGAAACATATATTTTATATTTAATAATAGAATATTGTATAATATGTATTAAACATATTTAATATATATATATTAAAACATAATGTAAGCGAGCTCTGAACCTGTGGTGTCACCTCTTAAATCACAGGGCAGTGGACACATGAAGCTCTATAGTGTGTTCTTGGCATGAGTTATTTAGCAGCAGCCCCAACTCATGTGGTGTTAGGAACATACTTTGGATTGTACAAGAATGACCTAATTTCCTAAGTACCTGGGTAGGAGAAAGGATCAGAATGTAGAAATTGGCCAGGTGCATCTGCAATTCCAGCACTTTGGGAGGCCAAGGCTGGGATCACCTGAGGTCAGGAGTTTGAGACCAGCCCGGCCAACATGGTGAAAACCCTGCCTCTGCTAAAAATACAAAAGTTAGCTAGGCGTGGTGGCTACTTGGGAGGCTGAGGTGGGAGGATTGGTTGAACTCAGGAGGTGGAAGTTGCAGTAAGTGGAGATGGTGCCACTGCATTCCAGCCTGAGCAACAGAGGAAGACTCTACTCAAAAAAAAAAAAAA